TAGTACAGGAGGTGACCAGAGACTGCGGACATAGTACAGGAGGTGACCAGAGACTGCGGACACAGTACAGGAGATGACCAGAGACTGCGGACATAGTACAGGAGATGACCAGAGACTGCGGACATAGTACAGGAGGTGACCAGAGACTGCGGACATAGTACAGGAGATGATCAGAGACTGCGGACACAGTACAGGAGATGACCAGAGACTGCGGACACAGTACAGGAGGTGACCAGAGACTGCGGACACAGTACAGGGGATGACCAGAGACTGCGGACATAGTACAGGAGGTGACCAGAGACTGCGGACATAGTACAGGAGGTGACCAGAGACTGCGGACACAGTACAGGAGGTGACCAGAGACTGCGGACACAGTACAGGAGGTGACCAGAGACTGCAGACAGTACAGGAAGTGACCAGAGACTGCGGACACGGTACAGGGGATGACCAGAGACTGCGGACACGGTACAGGAGATGACCAGAGACTGCGGACACGGTACAGGGGATGACCAGAGACTGCGGACACGGTACAGGAGATGACCAGAGACTGCGGACACGGTACATGGGATGACCAGAGACTGCGGACACGGTACAGGGGATGACCAGAGACTGCGGACACGGTGCGGGAGATGACCAGAGACTGCGGACACGGTACGGGAGATGACCAGAGACTGCGGACACGGTGCGGGAGATGACCAGAGACTGCGGACACGGTACGGGAGATGACCAGAGACTGCGGACACGGTACGGGAGATGACCAGAGACTGCGGACACGTTACGGGAGATGACCAGAGACTGCGGACACGGTACAGGGGATGACCAGAGACTGCGGACACGGTACAGGGGATGACCAGAGACTGCGGACCCGGTACAGGGGATGACCAGAGACTGCGGACCCGGTACAGGGGATGACCAGAGACTGCGGACCCGGTACAGGGGATGACCAGAGACTGCGGACACGGTACAGGGGATGACCAGAGATATGGGAAGTACGATCAAACGTTTTCTACTTCTATTGTGGTTCACAGGAGTACGCGCTTCTGTGACCCAAAGTCGGCTCATAGGGAGCTGTTGCCTGCTATTAGCTGACCTCACAGAGCCTCTCCAGACTTTGGAAAGATCCCAACAATATTGTCAAGATCCACCCTGGCTGCTTAAATGACAGGTGCCTCCACCTCTCAGCTTGTGGCTGAGAGCCAGAGCTAGCTGCACCCGCCCCCTTCCACTGCCCAACACTCCAGTGAGCACTGGAGGAGCAAAGTGGAGAATGGCGATTGAGGGCACTGCTCTCCTTCCCCAGCAGACTGGGAGTTGAGCAATCAGTGGTCATGCGATTGCTCAGTTCTTGGTCTTAGAGCCAATGTGGGACAACTGCAGCATAGAGGTGAGTATGGGTGTGTGTGTGAACCCATACTTCTCATTAAAAATGTTCAGTAGAGTGTTCATAAGTCAGCATCAGTGTGATATTACATGCATTTATATAGTGCTGGCACTTTATGCAGTGCTTCACCTACTGTACATGCACATCAGTTTCTGCCCCCCCCCCCCCCCCCGTTCCCAAGGAGCAACTTGCGTCTTTGTTTGCACAGCCCCCATGGGACACATTTGAAGTCCCAGGAGGCTGCAGGACAATTCACAAAGCACCATGTGAGCTCAGGCATGCTCTGTGGACAGCCTGCTGTGGTTCCCCAGGAAGAAACATCTGGCTCCTGTATTCAAAATGGCGGTGCTGGGGACGCTCAGCGGTGAGGACTGGATGCAGGAAGTCAGCGCTGGGCCCCGGGCTCTGGTAAGTACCGGATTATTTACATTCAGCAGCTACAGTAAGTTCTTCTTTCACCTTCCTGCTTGTATCACCCTTGCTGGCAACATCGGGGACACAAGCAGGTGAGTGTTCAGTCCCCAGGTACAGGACTCCGCTGTCAGATACTGTCGGATTTTAGGTCCCTAGTTCAGGTTCTCCTCATTGGATTCATGGATTACTCTGTAAGAACGGCTCTGTTTTCTAGTCAGCAGATCTCCTTATCCTTCTCTCTGTTTTCCTAATAATCTCTTGACTCCAGACTGATCCCCTCCCGCCGTCCTCTCTCCATCCTGGCAGCCCTGCATTCTGGGTAGGCGTACTGCATTCCAGCTTTTGGATTTGTTTCAGGCATGGTGTGACCTTTAACAGCTTTATAAACGCACAAACTAACCGCTGCCTGTGATGTTGGAGGGGGGGGGGGGGGAGTGGAGTCGCTTGCCCATCGCAGTCCACATGGAGCTCAGCAATGGGCTCTGAGCCACACGATCTGCCCAGACACGGCTGACACTCTGGGGTGGATTTACTAAAGGCAAATAGACTGCACTCTGCTCCGGAGCTTAGAAAACGAGGGGAATCTTCACTTTTGCAAAAAATACCTGATCACATGCAAGGGGATGAAAAACAAAAACAATTTTTGCTTGCGCATGATTGGATGATGGAAGTCCCCTCCTTCACTAACCCCTGGGGCCAATGCCC